TCTCCACCTCAGGCTCAGCCTTCAGGCGTAGCGTGGCTGTCTTTAGCTTTGCCTGCTTGGGCACCTCCGCCCTGGAACGGTTGTCGCTGCTCGAACTGTCCACCTCCGTCGGTGCCGTGCCGAAATCCTCGTCGTCGCTCTGCTTAGGTTGCATTATGTAGACAAACATGATGACTCCCTCAATGATCGAAACCAACGTCACCACCGTAGGCGATATCGAAAGACAAACTCCATACACTGCAAGTGCGCAGAACTGAAGCAGAACCGCAACTGGGAGAGGTATCTGGATGGTTCGCTGGCGCCACTCCTATCCACTGGGTAGTTGTCCATCGCATCGTCCATGTATAATGTTTCGACACACTCGGTCTCGTCATAGTTTTCGTCCTTGTCGTCGTAGAAGCACTCGTCTACATAGGTTTGTGCGCTTCCACCGGCCAGGTAGATATCTCATCGTTCCCACCGGTGTCGTCGTACAGCGCCTGCTTGACGTACTTAGCCATCTTCGCGTTCAGGTCGTTAACCTCGCTGTTGGCTGCCACCTTCTCTGGCCCAACTAGCTCCCGTCCGCGCACTGATGGTGCTCATCCAGCCCAAGAGTCCACAAGTCAGATATCACAATCTTATTATATCTTCTTCGCGTCGCCTCCTGGAAGCACTTGCGTCAAACAGTCCGCTAGCATCTGCTCGCTCTTGACCGACTTGATGCTGACCTCCTTCAGTGACTGACGTAGTATAGCCGCCTCCGGAGCAAGCCTCCTATCCGTCATAGATGCCTTCTTTTTCGTGATCGTGTCACACAGGGTCTTGCAGTCGGTCACCGAAATGAATTTCACCGGGCAGGTGTCATGCACGATCTCGGCCGCATCCATCTCTGGGTATAGGATCTCCGCCAGGGTTGACGTTGTCCAAATCAGCATATCCACAGAATCTGCACCGGAGTATGCCTCCGCCGACGGAATAGATCGCACCACTCGTTGAATCTTTGAAAACTGCCACCCAATGCAATGTACCTTGTACTTGTTGCCGTGGTCCTCGTTGATCTTCTCGTCACCTAGCATGATGAAGCGTCCTCGTTGCGATCTGTACTTCAGCAGATTGTCGAAAGCACTGTCGGTCACGTTGATTACCATGGTCTTCCACAGGTAGACGCAACAGTAACGGTGATTTGCGGCGTTGAAGTCCCAAGAAACGTGTTCTGGCACAGCTCCAGATGTTGGAACGGCTATCTTCCAACGGGACACTCCCGTCAGCGAAAATGGATCCTTGTAGGGGCCTCTGAAGAGGGAGCTCGAAGGAAGGGTGTATGGCAATATCGTTGACGGGCCTTCGTTGCACTGATCCTCCTCCTCCTCCTCCTCCTCCTCCTCCTCCTCCCCGTCCTCCTTCTCCTTTTCCTCCTCCTCCTCCTCCCCGTCCTCCTCCTCCTCCTCCTCCTCCTCCTCCTCCTCCTCCTCCTCCTCCTCCTCCTCCTCCCCACTGGTCGCCCCATTGTCCTACATCTTCTCCGCCTCCTCCGCCACCCACTCAAACCTCATCTCCTCCTCCTCCTCCTCCTCCTCATCCTCCTCGTCCTCCTCCTCCTCCTCCTCGGCATAGCCGCCCCCCTCCTCTTTCCCGCCCCCCACCCTTCCGCCTTGCTCCTCTCCTCTCCTCCCGATCCTCGCTCCCCCCTCGCCCGCACCCTCGCCCCGCCCCGTCCGCAACGCCTGGCAGCGCGGGCGGCGTGCTCTTTCTCGCCGCCCGCGGCTCCCGGCTCGGCGTCCGCGCGTGCCTTCTGGGGGGGGACGGGCGACGGGCAGGAGCAGGAGGAGGAGGAGGAGGAGGAGGAGGAGGAGGAGGGGGAGGGGGAGGGGGAGGGGGAGGGGGAGGGGCAGGAGCAGGGACGGGGACGGGACGGGGGGAAGGACGAGGAGTGGCAGCGGGAGCGGGAGCTGGAAATCTCCGGGCGACGGAATATGCACACATCATGAAGGGGCCCACAAGCACACAAATAAATACACACAGATGACAGGATCCCCCATAGTTTCCTGTATTTTCTGGGTTTTTGTCTTCCCCCCCCCACGTCCCATATTTTCCCATATTTTCTGGGGGATCGACGATTCATTGTGTCTGTGTGTTTTTTCCCTCCTGAATATCCACTGCTCCCTGACCAGGCCCATCCTGAACTCAGCAGCGGTGCATACGCCGCGCCCTCCCGGCTTGGCCAGGAGGGCGTATACACAGCTCATGGGTTCAGGATGGGCCTGGCCAGGGAGCAGTGGATATGTAGAGATTTCGTCGCACGACGCCTGGGGAGCTGACGGATGGTGGTGCTGAGTGCGGTGGAGGGGGAGGAGGACTTGCAGGAGAAGGAAGGGGTGCAGAGGGGACAGAGGACAGAGAACGGAGCGCAGAGTAAAGGAGGGATGAAGAAAAGGCTGGCTGCTTTGTGGTATGTTAGGTTAAGCGGGTGTGGCAAGTTGTGTGCGACGCCGCTGGAACCAACATCTGATCTCACCCATAATGTGACACAAAAATCCGCCGGCCCCCTGGGGGTCGCAAGGGTGTGAAGGTTCCTGCTGGACTGCTGGCTTGTACTCTTTGTGCCGTCGATTATTGATGCCTCTCATCTTTCCAGTCCTGCCTACATGCTACTGTCCACCAGGGGGCCCGCGACGCTCAAAAAACCCACCTGGGGGTGGGGCTTAAATTCTTGGCCGCTCTAGAAAGATCACCAGGACTCCCATGAGACGCCACCGCATGGCCACGAGGGCCCAAGAGGCCTCGAAGACGGCACCAAGAGGCTCCAAAGAAAGCCTCAAGAGTCCAAGACGGCCCAAGATAGCTCCAACAGGCCCGAAGATAGTCTCAAGACGTCCAAAGAGGCTCCGACGACGCAACAAGGGGGGCCCCGAGAGGACCTCCCAAAAAGCTTCCAGAAGTCGAAATCATTGATGGTCGATACGCTGTTGTAGCGTTCTCGCAATGTCCAGCTTCTGGAAACCCAAGACGACCGAAGATAGCTCAAGCTGCCTCCAAGATGGCCCAATAACGACCCGAAATCCCCCAAGAGAAGCCCAACACGGCTGATGAGGTCCCTTAAGACAGCTTCAGGACAGACGGCTCAAGAGGGCCCCCAGAGGGTATCACCCAATAGGGCCTCAAGAGTTCCCAAGATACCCCAAAGTGGTCCCCCGAAAGGGAGCCAAGAGGGCGCCAAGTGGGCCCCAGGAGGGCCCCGAGACGGTCCAAGAGGGAGGCAAGATCACCCAATAGGGCCTCAAGAATTCTCAAGATACCATGAAGAGGCCTCTCGGAAGGGTCTTAGGAGGGCGCCAAGTGGGCCCCAGGCGAGACGGTCCAAGAGGGCCGCAAGATCACCCAATGGGGCCCCATGAGTTCCCAAGATACCCCAAAGAGGTCCCCCGAAAAGGCCCCAGGAGAGCGCCAAATGGGCCCCATGAGGGCGCATAGTGGGCCACTGGAGGGAAAGAAATAGGAGGACCATAGTAAACCCAAGATGCATCAACGATGCTGCAATACGCCCACCCGCCCAAATACCCTCCCCGGGAGCCCGTACAACGAATTCCTGCTCACTCTGGAAACTGCCCCCTTAAAAAACGAACGCTCCCATTGTCCGACAATTCAGGCGAAAATCCCCTTTTGGATAAGAGTTGCCACCCATTGATAAAAACGGCAACGAGGTAGCATTACAAAATCAAGAGAAATGTCCAACGAGAACCACGTTTTGAAAAAAGCCGCCCTCAAGCCGTGCAAACTTCCTCCAATGCTAAACGTCTAGCCGTATAACCTAATGCAGTCTCAAAACATAATAGACCCGACATGAATATGAACATCCCTCCATCAGCGTAGCTGCTTCATATGTTTAAACTGATGGTCGTAATGCGCAGTGGCGATTTCAAGCGGTTGTTACTCTCCAACAGCGCTTGCGTTTACAGCCTCTTTCTCGTTTTCTGAAGATCTGGGCCTGTGTGCTGGTCTGGCAGTTATGTCGTCGCCGTCGCCGCCCCGTCGAAGCCTCGTCACCGCCCGTCGTCTGGGCCTGCGTGCTGGTCTGGCGGCTCTGTAGTCGCCGTCGCCGCCCCGTCGCTGCCTCGTCGCCGCCTGGATTCTCCCCTATATGAAGAAGTGGTGATCTAATGTTGTGTAATCCATGTGGTACACTCTATGCGGTTCAATCTCTGTTGTGCAAGCTATGCGGTGCAGTCTACACGGTGCAATTAATTTCTGTGCACAATGAATTGTGGACTCCACTGCTCGCGCAATCATCCCACCGACCCGCCCGCAACTGGGTTGCAAAACCCATGCGGCGGCGATTGCGATGAATACTTGATGTTGGCTGGTGCGTCTCTGCAGCCACGCTAGCCCGCACATGCTCGCGCGAGCAGCGGCCAGCTGGTTTGGCGCGATCGACGCGGCCGCAGTGGCGTTTACCGCTGGGCAATTCCCAGCGGGCATTTCAGCAGCGCGATATCGACTTGGGCGGGCGTGACGATGATGACAACGACAACGGCAAGGCCAGTGACGGTGCCGATGCTGATCACGCCGATCACGATGTTGATGTCCTCGCGTCGGTTATCCACGTTTTGGAAGGACTTCGACATGCGCGCGCGGCCGGCGCGAGAGAGTGGATGGATCGTGCCCCCATCACCCCCCCCCGAGCACGCGCGCAAGGGCATTCGAATGATTTCGACATGCGGTGCGAGAGGCCCGTTTGGTCGAATATACTGAACAAAACACCGACAGTTTTCTTGAGAATTCGCGAGAGCGCGAGCGCAGACACTTTTGAAAGTTGATGCGGCAAACCCATGTTATACATAGGTATACATATATACATACATATATGTGTGTATATATATACACGCGCTTCGCGCGCGTAGGTTCTAGTCCAGCCCATGACGCTGTGATGATACGAAGGTCGGGGTTTACGGGCGACTCGCTGTCCGAAAGGGTTGCGACCGTCTTGAGCGGGTTATGGGATGTCGCAGGGCTTCCTTGCACTGGCTTTGGGGCTGTTTAGGCGCTGCATTGGGGGGGCAAGTGTCTTTGGCCCCAATGGCGCTGTCCAGGCGTTGCCACGACACGCAAGTCTTGGCTTGCGGGTTCGTCTGGGAGATCGCTAAACAGCCTTGGGGCTTTGACTCCATTGACTGTCTACCTGATGAAATGTTGAGGCCGTAGTTCGCTGGTCTGTGGACAAAAAGTGCCTTGACATAGAAGGCACGCGCTGCACACGCCAGCTGGCGGAGCACGTGCAAAGGAACGAAGAATGCAAGACGACGCAGAGCAAACTGCCTCGACGCATAACAATGCACGCGCCGTCACGCTGGGTGGCAGATCACTTGCAGGAAGATAGAGGAAAGACGGAGGAAGCAGGGAACGCAGCCTTGATATTGTCATGCTTTCTCTCTGCAGTGGCTTCGGGAAGGGAGAAGAAGCGAACAAATGGAGATGCCTTCGGCTCACAACTGCCACATGACACAAGTCCAGCAACTTCGAAATGGCAATTGCGCAAGCACCGAGAGCAGCACTTCCAGTACACGCTCACAAGTGCATTGGCCGATATATTGATAACGATGTAGGACCATGTACCGGGTAAAGCACGACCACCATCTCAAAAAAATGCCATCTCCTCATCCTAAAACTACTAGCTGCAATAATTCTGTTTCTGGGAAACTCCACAGAACTAAGAGCCGCCTGGAGTGGTGTACGCTCCGCCTGGCGGTCGCTACTTTGAAGAACGACGACTGTAATCGGTGTGCTTGCCCGAGGAGGGGACGAGTCCGCCGCTCGACTCGTCGCCCGACTGAGACAAGAAACTCAAAGACCGTGTCCAGCCAGGGGCGCTTTCAACGCCCCAGGCAGCCGGGTTCCGGAAGGCATGCACGGCGCAGAAGGCAATCGAGACCAAGCGCCAGCTCCTCTCTGATTGCGGGGGAGAGAAGGGAAAGGGAAGGACGAGAAAGGCAGACGAGAGGCTCGACGCCGACAGGAGGTGACCGCGCGCGGCAGGCGGGGGCGCGCGGCGCAGGAGGATGGCGCGTGGCTGGGCTGGCGGGGCAAGGGGGGGGCAGGGAGTTCGGGAGGTCACGGCTGCATGGAAGATCTGGGACGAATTCGCCCGCGCACGTGCCTGTGCACGGAGGTGGATTCTGTACAGTCCATGCTCTCGGCGGACGTGGGGGCAGCGTGCCTCGCTACCGGGAACCAAGGGGGCAAGAGTCCATCTCGCCGGCTCCAGAGATCACTGGGCGCTCGCTGGAAGAGAAGGCGTCACTGTAAAAACAATCCTGTGCTACACGCGCGGCGCCGAACCCCAACCTGGCTCAAGCTGCAGCAATGGTAGACATGCGGTTCCATGTCGGATCCGAGGGCCTCGGCAATCGATACGGCACACCATCTCCAGGGCCCCAGTAAGGCAAGCTCGGTCGAATTGTCTTTCCTGGAGCGCCGTGCAAGCTCTAGGCTCCGTGGTCCGCCGCTGGATCTGCGCCCGCGTTCAGCAGTGCCGTGGCCACGTCCAGCTCGAACTGCGCGGTGGACAGGCGCATACCCGCGGTCCACTCAGCGGTGCCCAGCGGAGTGTTCGGCATTCCCCTGAAGTCGATGGGGCGGGCGCTGAAGGAGTGGTTCCCCGTTCCCGAACCGAGAAGCTGGAGCGGAGACTGTCCGCCGACGCTCGTCACGTCGACCTTCGCGCCGTTCTCGATCAGCAGCCTGACAACTTCCTCGCTGCAACCGAGGCGGACCGCGGCGCAGAGCGGCCACTCGAAGCGGCAATCCCAGAACGGCTCCTTGGCTGCCTCTGGGTCTGCCTCGATGGCGAGGCGCACTTGCTTCAGGCAGTTTCGCTCCAGGGCCAACAGCAAGGGCTCCGCACGCTCCCTGATTTGCGGAGGCGGCGGCGTTGTAGGCACCCTGGAGCGCACACGCGGCGTACTGGGTGGAGTCGTGCAGACTGTCTGCGACGCCCTGGGGGTCCGGGGCGCGCAGGTTCTGGACGGACCCTGAGCCGAGCACGCCACCTCTGACACGCGCTTGGGGTTGTCCGAGGACTCGTCGTCAGAGTCGCAGGCCGCTTTGATGGGTCTCATCGACGAACCTGGCCACTGCGGGACGTCGGGCTGGCCAGTCGGGTAGTCCCGTCTCTGGAGGGGAGCCGACATGTGGCCGAAGTGCACCGCTACGGAAGTGGTCCTGTACAGGGTTGATGCGCAACCAACCTTGCCTCGAGCCAAAATGGATACAGAGGAACGCAGCCTTAATATTGAATGCATGCGCTGTCACGCCAGCTGGCGGAGAAGGTGCCATAACCCCTCCTGGTCGCACCGTCAGGGCCTCAAGTTCGATGACTCTGCCTTCATTTGCTTTCGAGCCACCTCCAGCCGTCATTCGGCATTCTTTGAGCCTCTTGGACGGACGCATGCTGGAGATGCGGTCTTGGGCATCTTTGGGGGCCGCTCTTGGGGGCTTGCGTGGTAATCTGGGAAGTCTCTTGGGGCCGTTTTGGGGCCGATTAGGGGGCCGCTTGGGCTGTCTTCGGGCCCTCTCAGGGCCGTGCCGGGGCCGTCTTGGGCCCATCTTGTGCCGTCTTGGAGCCGTCTTGGGCGGTCGGAAGCCAGGAAGAGCGAAAACACGAAAAACCTTCAAACACCTCAAAAACAACAATGCGATTGGCCTCATCAAGGCCCCTTTGGGGCGCACCTGGTGCTCTCGTGGGGTGTCCTGGGGACCTCTTGAGCCGTGCTGAGGCCATCCTTAGTGCTCTTGGTGCCCTTTTTGGGCCGTCTTCGGCTCATTTTGGTTCCTCTGAGGCAGTCTTGGGGGTATCTTAGGCTGTCTTGGAGGCCTCTTCGGCCGACTGGAGTCCTCTTGGAGGCCCCGGGGAGGGGGTATCAACATGATCGGCCCACGAACCCGGAAAGGAATATAGAACTGTAACACATGGCAGCGTTTTCGAAGACACCTGATTGGGTGACGGGCAAATGCAATGCTGAGTGTACCGATCTTGATGTGCCATGCCGAGGGCTGTGCTGTGCTGCACCGTGCTGAACTGCGATGTGCCATGCCGCCATTGTGCTCTACAGCCTCGTGGATCGAGTCCTCCTTTGCATCCGAGTCCTGACCGAACTGATCTGGATCTTAAGCTCGAGCTGCCTGAACACATTGTAGCTGCCCCAGAGCTAATGGACAGGGGAACATGCCAGGAGGACGCGCCGCGAAACGTCCCAAGGGATGCGCCAGGCGACGTGCCAGGGGACGTGCCATAGGGTCGCACCGCGGGACGTGCCAAAGGGACGCGCTACGGAACGTGCCACTGGATGTGCCACGGGATGTGCCAGGGGACGCGCCACGCGACGTGCCAGGGGGATTCGCCAAGGGACGCCCCACATCACGTGCCAAGGAACGTGCCAAGTTGCAATGCTGAGTGTATCGATCTTGATGTACCGTGCCGAAATCTGTGCTGTGCTGCGCCGTGCTGAACTGCGATGTGCCATGCCGCGATTGTGCTCTATAGCCTCGTGGATCGAGTCCTCCTTTGCATCCGAGTCCTGACCGAACTGATCTGGATCTTAAGCTCGAGCTGCCTGAACGCATAGTAGCTGCCCCAGAGCTAATTGACAGGGGGACATGCCAGGAGGACGCGACGAGGAACGTCTCAAGGGACGCGCCAAGCGACGTGCCAAGGGACGTGCCATGGAGACGCACCGCGGGACGTGCCAAGGGGACGCGCTACGGAACATGCTAGGGACAAGCGTTTCGCTCGAGACATCCTGTCAAAATCTAAGGAAATCCGGGAAAAACTAACAAATTAGTCTAGACATCCTCGACATTCCTGCGCGCGGGACGCGGCACGCGCGAGACATCCTCGGAATTCCTGCGAGCGGGGCGTGAAAACAAACATTTCGCCCCCCCACGAGGCTCCCGCTCGAGACATCCCCCAATTTTGCAAAACCAGCGTTTCACTCGAGACATCCTCAACACAGTTTTTTTTGTTTTTTTTTTTTAAAAAAAAAAAAAAAAGCATTTCGCTCGAGACATCCTGTCAAAATCCCATGACATCCTGTCAAAACAAACGAATTAGTAGAGACATCCTCGAAATTCCTGCGCGCGGGACGCGGCACGCGCGAGACATCCTCGGAATTCCTGCGAGCGGGACGTGAAAACAAGCATTTCGCCTGAGACATCTTCTGAATTCTGGCCCCCCCACGAGGCCACCGCTCGAGATATCTTCCAATTTTGCAAAAACAGCATTTCGCTCGAGACATCCTCAACACACGAAAGAGTGGCCCGCACCCTGTGATTTATCGATCGGGATTTCAAAAACAAGCGTTTCGCCTGAGACGTCCTCAAATTTGAATCCGCCGGCCCACCTCGACTTCCATATTTAAAAAGGAAAGAACCTTTCCTGACGTGAACGGGAAGCGCCTGAAAGGACAGAGCTGCGCAAGAACGTGCAGCATCATCACGATAAAATGTAATGTAGGCGAGCTCTCCGAACGTCCACAGGGGATGCCTACGGACACGCGCTCCCCGAACGTCCACAAGGAGAGTCCTGATTATCCTCCTCACTTCTCTGTACGCCTCCAATGTCGTCCGTCTATCCCTCACTTATCTGATGTGTTCGAAGGCCCGTCCGAAGGCACACACACACGCACACACACAGGAGGAAGAGGCTCTTGTACGTTTTAGAAGACCTCCTCAAAAGCATTTGCAAGGGGGATGTCTCGAGCGAAACGCTTACTTATCTGATGTGTTCGAGTAGGAGGGGGCGAAGGAGATGGAGGAACGTGAGGAGCAGACGGCCCTCACGACTGCCCAACAGAGCCTCACAATACGATCATATACAATAACTTAGTATAGAGGAAGTCTCATATACAAGGACCATCGTACACAAGGAAGATCTTACACAACGAATGCCATATTCAAACAAGATCATATACAACTAAGGGGCCGCCCACCCGCCGTCTCGCATATAGGCGACTGCACCGCCCCTACTCCCGGGGGTCCCTGGGCGGCCATGGCGTATCCCTGGGATTGTCCAGGGCTTCAATGACGCCTCAGGAAGCCCACCCAGGCCACCAAGATAGCCCAGAATCGCTCCAAGGCGGCCCAAGATGGCCTCCAGACGGCCCAAAAGGCCTCCAACACGCCCCAAGAGGCCTCCAAGAGCCCTGCCAAGAGACATCATATACAAGGAATGTCATAGACAAGGGCGATCATAAACAAGAACTTAATGTAGAGGAAGTATCATCTACAAGGACCACCAGTATCATATACAAGGACCAAGTCATATACAAGGTTATCCAAGAACACCCCGAACATATGTCTCATAGCAGCTCTTTCGACATCCCATTTTTCCGAAGATGTCTCAGGCGAAACGGCCGTTTTTGAAGTTCCGAAAATTAGGCCAGCGATTTCAATATCCCGATTGTTTGAGGATGTCTCAGGCGAGACGCTCATTTTAACATAAGACGTCTTAAGACACGACCCCCAACTTCACGATTTGGCGAGGACGTCTCAGGCGAAACGCTCGTTTTGGGAATCCGCCAGGCTCTGAATCACACGTTCCCCCTCCAGACCTCCCCCAGTTGATAAGTAAATCCCTCTGGGCAAACAGACGTCCATCGCGCGACTCTTCGAGTCTTGGCGCGCTTCCCGTCATCCGCCGGCCGACCTTAGTTGAGGCACTGGGGACAGGCTTACAACTAAAAGAGAACCCTGGGTCGGCGCCCGTTCCGGGAAAAGGAAGCGAGATCGTAGCGAGGTGCCGGGCCCCTGGACGAGGATCAAGGTCCGAAGTTGTTTTGTCTTCGGGGGCTCTCGTCGTCGCCGCCCTGAACGCATCCCGAAGCGACGTTTTTTTCGAGGAGGTGCCAGACGAGGACGGGGAGGGAGATGAGGAGGCAGAAGCATCAATAGCAGTTGAGGCAGCAGTTGGGCCGCCTTGAAGCCGTTTTTGCGGCGTCTCGGGAATCTCTTTGGGCCGTCTTGAGTCACACCACCGTCCGCGCTTGGGATCCTCGGTGTCTTGAGCTCGTTACGTGGTGGAACACAAGAACCAGGCGAAAATCTATACATTTAGCGTCTCCGGGGCTCCTCCTCCTCCTCCTCCTCCTCCTCCTCCTCCTCCTCCTCCTCCTCCTCCTCCTCCTCCTCCTCCTCATCCTCCTCCTCCTCCTCCTCTCCTCCTCCTCCTCCTCCTCCTCCTCCTCCTCCTCCTCCTCCTCCTCCCTGCAGCCTTCCTGGCCCGCTCTCGGGCCGTCCTGGGACCAATTTGGGGGCGTTCTGGATGGCATTGGCTGTCCTGAGGCCCTGTTGGGGCCCTCTTGGAGGGCTCTTGGGGCCCTTTTGGACTTCCCCTGAAGACATGTGAAGCCTTCTGGGCCCTCCTGGGGCCGTCTTGGAGCGCCCCTGGGCCGTCTTGGGACGACTCTCTTGGGCCGTCCTGGGGCCCTCTTTTGGAAACGTTTGGGCCGACTTGGACCGATGTCTGGGGCTTCTCCTCCTCCTCCTCCTTCGCCTCCTCCTCCTCCTCCTCCTTCTCCTCCTCCTCCTACATACACCTGGGCCGATGTATGGGGCTCGTAAGGCACGTACAGGGACATACTAATACTATGTGTTCTCTTTGGAGGCGCGCGTCCGACCCGAACGTACAGCATGCCCATCCTGTAGTAGATCGTTGCCCGAGCGGTGTGGCCAGAAAGCGCCCGCCACGACGCACATACTATTAGATTTCTCGGTGCGCGCGTCGCCCCTGGGGGGGCGACGCACATATAGATCGTGTGCTGTCTTGGCCCGTCGGCAGCATGAAACAGCAAGTACACGGAAAACCTGCAGAATCCAAGGAAGAATTGGATGTGCCGCCTCCTAGGGGCCTCGTGGGGCTCCTTGTGCGTCCTCTGGGCCGTCTTGAGGCCCTCTTGGGCGTTCTTGAAGCCGTGTTAGACCATCTTGGAACTGTCTTGGGCGATCTTGAGCTCTCTTGGAGCGCTTTTAGGATGCCTGGGAGTACTCTTGGATATCTCTTAGGCTCTCTCGTCGCCCTTCTTCCACTCCTTTGACGCGTTTTGGCGCTCCCCGACGGGTCCAAACCTGCCGTGTTCAAAATCAGTGCTTCCCAGTGCCCCTGGGACTATCTCCCCATGTATAAAATGTGCATATAAGATTTCGATGTATAACGATAATGGTATCACCGTGGAAATAATTCTCTTGCACAGGGTGTCTAGAGCTCCGACCACTTTATTCCGCGTCGCACCCCCCCCCGCGTCCCCAG